TCGACCAACTAGAATGACCAGCACGTATGAGCGGTCACCAAGTAAGTGTATTGAGCCTGAAGATTTAGCCGCATAAGGGGATGGAGGATCCTGACCGAAATTCCGATTGGTACGTTTTTTGATTTCAAATTTTTTTTGTTTGGTTCTAACGAAACAATGGGATAGCTAATAAATCGTATACTTTAAATCTAGATACGGTGGGATTCATCGTTTATATCGACCGCCTTATACGGATCCCTTATGTTTCTGGCCAATACGAAGGGATAGAGGATGTAACTGTGTCTACTTCGTCTTAAAGAATCATATGTGAGTTTATTTTTCAATTTGTATGCCAGAATTCATTTATTTATGACGTTTGGTTCTGGTTTGAAAATTAATAGGGGATTGAGATTGAGATGTTGCGCGATAGGAGATTTAGCCGACTATTTTATGAGAGTATGGGTTAACCGAGAATATGGTCATTCGTACCTTCGTGATTCTGTATTTTTTGTTTTGAGGTTTGGCATGTTGAAGAGTATAAAGGTATTGACTTATATATATTCATCATATTTTCCAACAACCAAAATTAAGCCGGTTATTATCTTATTTTCTCTCATCGGATTGAATATTTTACAGGAAAACCATGTCTCATGAATAGGGTTGGATGCTCTAGATTTTATCTTGACCCGGAGTTTGACGAAGGCCGCTATGAATTCAAGATGTTCCAATTTGGATGATGAGTGATCATGGAATTTTCTACAAATATTATCAATGAGTCTTTGTTGTTATGGGTTTTAAGGAATGTATAATTACTTATTTTTAGAGACAGTATGCTTCATCTTTTGTAATATTATGGTCGAATTTTGAAATCTCATAACTAAATTTTTATCATCAAAATTTCAATGTTTCCCGTAGTTTTACGATCTTGAAGAGATCAAGGAACGATAATATTCAGGGTTTATCATGATATATTAATTGGATGTTCGCATTTGTTTCGGATAATAACCTAGCAAGATTTCTATACATATTACACTCTCGATGGTTTTTACTTGGGCTACAAAGAATGCAATATATTCAGAGTCGGATGATTGAATGGGTCATGGATAAGTCTACAAAAATGTTTGATTAGTTTGGTGTTCTTATGAGCTATAATTGATGGATAAATCATTTATACTAGACACGTTATGTTTGATCATTTGTTATAACTCGATCGTATTTTAAAGTCGGTAAACTATTTTTAATCTTCATAATTTGAACTTTTTTTGAAAAATAACCTTACCACGCAAGGCGCGGGTAATTGCCCTAGTATATATATATATATATATTAATAATAGTTTGTTAGCTAACTAATAACTTTTAAACAAGGTGATAATAGGTTTTTAAGATCAATTAATCCTAAAGCACTATCATGTCGTTGTAGTATTTTAGGTTGTCAATCCAATCTAGTGTGATGCAAACAGATGAGATATGATCAGAATTTGCTAAGTCAAGCCAAGCAGAGAGTTGTTGTTTTCTAACAATCCTAATGCGAAATAACAGAAATGAAATGAAACCGAAATGCAAACTAGCAATAGCAGACAGTTGAATAACAAAGCAGGTAAGATAACAGGCAATCAAATGGATGAGAGATTCCTAAAGACAGGGTAATCGAATAGCGTGGTCTTCTTAATCTATTTAGACGGTTGACAAAACTTCACAGAAGCTATCCCTTGACAACAAGTTCAAAAGCAAATCAATTCACCACCGTGATAGAAATTCTCAAGCAGAGCTAGACACAGACCTAATCACCATTAGCGATCTCTAACTAAGCAGGCAATATCGAATCAACTTGTTAAAGCCAATACCCGCTCTAAACGGCCAATACCTTGGGATAGAGACGAGTATCTCTGGAATTAGTAGATCAGACATTCCATCAAACACCTTTTGGGTGCGGGAATGTCTGGATTCATTTTCCAGTTGATCAGAAAGGAACAAGCAATAAGCGCAACTAATCCAAAAGGGATTCAAACAATCTAAACTCAACCATCTAAAGCGACTAAGGCAACCACGACTACTCTATCCCATCCTCAGAAATACAATTCACTACTCAGACATAATCAAAAACAATAGCAATGAACGATTGAAAACATGATAACAGGAAATGATAAAGACTAAAACGAAAACTGAATTATAAAATACTTGAAAGCGAATACAAAGTCGCAGGAAGAACACACTGCGGCTATGAAAACAAGTCTAGGTAAAAACTGAAAATAAAGACTGGATGCCCTAGGGAAAACCCTTAGAGGCTGCTTATATAAGCGAGAAAAGTTAAATAAGGAAAGTTCGAGATAGTGGTCTTCACATCGAGACTCTGCGATCGAGCATCTGATGGGCTGAAATGGGCTTCCCTGTGATCGAGTGTAACTGATCAAACTGGGCTTCGGGAACTCCGTCTTGCGATCGAGTGGTCTGTAGTGAAGACGAGATGGAATGGTCCAGCGACCCTGCGATCAAATGGTGCGATCGAGTAGATGACGTGAGGTGGTGATCGAGTGGTTTCTTCAGCTTCTCTTCTCTTCCGTATGCTCAGCTTGTCTGGTTGAGTGAAGAATGAGTAGATGGGCTTCTGATGACAAGGTGGTGATCGAGTGGTGTAGAGTAGGTGATCCCTCCGGGCTTGCGATCGAGTGAAACTAAGCTGCTGGCTTCTCCGGGGTTGTGATCGAGTGATATGTCTTTCATGACAGCTTCTGCTCGATCTTGCGATCGAGTGGTTTCTTCTGAAATTGCTCCGGGATTGTGATCGAGTGCTTTGCTCTGTCAGGGCTACGAGGTTGCGATCGAGTGCTTTGGCTGAAGGAGTGATTGAGCGTTCTGAATTTCTGTTCTGTTTCTCCTCTGTTTGAACTCCAAAAGCATCCAAAGTACGTGAAAACAACCAAATATGCGATGCACATGCAATCCTAATGCAAAAAACGTCCTAAGTATGCAAAACACACTAAAATGACTACTAATGAGATGAAATGTGATTGAAACAATGACAAAGTGATGAAAAATGAATGCTTAAATCATGCAAATTATAGACATATCACAAGCTAAAATAGATTGTTTTATCTCCATTTATGAAAAAGTTGAATTAACATTGAAATATATTGAGTTTTAAAAGAGTACATGTCCATAACTTTTTGGTTTATAAAAAAGAAAATCAATATATATTTATGAATTGCTCGATATAAAATCATTATATTCTAAAGAAGGTGAAATTTGCTCACACATGTAGAAATATATTCGTTTGAAATCGAAATATCAGTGTTATACATGAGTTGTTTATTTTTGTAAAAGAAAAATATTAATTGAAAAGGTTATTATGTGAGATTTAATAAATTAATACAAATGAATAACAAAATTTATATTTACAGGTGTCAAATCAATTAGAAGCAGAGAAAAAGATAACCGGAGACTTAAAACAGAAGAGAAAAGATAATAAAATGTTTGGGAATTGGTGGGAAGAACCCGTAGAAGAACTCAACATGACCCAACTCACTGAATTCCAATGTGGTTTGGAAAATTTGAGAAAAGCAGTGGCATATAAAGTCTCCAAGTACCATCAAGCAGATGTTCATCGTCGTAACTTTTATGCTGGAAGTTCTAGTAATTTTGCTTTTGGGATCTCAGGTGATAATAATATCAACAGTACTGAATTGGATATGTTTAATGATCAAAGAATGGCGAGCATGAATTTGTCCAACTACAGCCACAACATGATTGTTCCTAATCATACATCACCATTTGGGAATAATGGTAACAATACTCAAGGGTTTGCTCCAGAATACAAAGCGGAAGACAGCCAGAACCAAAGCCAATGTGTTAAGCAAGAAAATGTGTCTGAATATGCTCATTACCCTCATTTTGGACGTGATTACTAATAGTTTATGTTTTGTTGATTCATAAACACAGTTGTTTTTTTTTTTGTTTTTTTTTTTATTTTTAAGATGTCTTTACTTTACACATGATTACTTTAAGTTTTCCTTTCAGATATTGTTTCAATTCATAAATACAATGCTTTTGTAGAAACAACAATTCATAAACACAATGTGTTAAGCAAGAAAATGTGTCTGAATATGCTCATTACCCTCATTTTGGACGTGATTACTAATAGTTTATGTTTTGTTGATTCATAAACACAGTTATTTTTTTTTTATTTTTTATTTTTTTTTTAAGATGTCTTTACTTTACACATGATTACTTTAAGTTTTCCTTTCAGATATTGTTTCAATTCATAAACACAATGCTTTGTAGAAACAACAATTCATAAACACAATGTGTTAAGCAAGAAAATGTGTCTGAATATGCTCATTACCCTCATTTTGGACGTGATTACTAATAGTTTATGTTTTGTTGATTCATAAACACAGTTGTTGTTTTTTTTGTTTTTTTTTTTATTTTTAAGATGTCTTTACTTTACACATGATTACTTTAAGTTTTCCTTTAAGATATTGTTTCAATTCATAAACACAATGATTTACCAAAAAGGTTTATGGAGACGCAAAGATTTTCTCCTTACTAAGTTTAGGGCCCAATTAGCTTCAAGGCCCAATAAGGTAGGCTAATTATTATTTCGCGCAATTTTGGTGGTTATTCATTTTGGTAAATCAGTTTCGACAGCTTTTTTTTTTTGTAATCGAATAATCAGATTATATTTTGTTTCGTGATGTGTGTTAGCCACAATAGTCATTCAGTTGTGCTGAGAACGAACACCTTGTTCTTATTTGTTCTGTCTGCTCCAGGCTCCAGCTAATGCTTTGATTCTCCTCTAATCCCAATCGGAGTTAGTAATACTCTAGCCCCTACAGGACTCGACTATACCACCAAATCTTCCATCTGCCGAAATCTACTTCATCAGTGTAATTGCCTCGGTTCAAGTATATCACCTAAACGCCACATAAATATTAAATAGCCGTATATCTTTCTCTCCCGTTAAGAGAAAGACAAAGCTCTGAATCAACTGACCAACTTGTCTCTTAAAAAGAAACATCAACCATAGGTTACAGGAATGTTTATATAGATACCAACCAAACATTTTTCTACTGCCAGACACTACAATGACAATCACTAGACCAGCTCCAAAAGGACAAAATACCAAGTCTTCTTCAGCCTCTTGCGTTATTTCTTACTACCAAAAACTAAACACCTCTGCGAATAGACTCGAGCTTACTGCTAGGTTGCCAAAACAAGAGCCAATGGGTCACATACCATTTACCATTCTCTTCATCTCGGCTGATCTTCTAGGATCTGGTTCTTCAATCGCTCTCTCTATAAGCACATGCTTAATGCGGCACATTGATCTCCTCACCTATATATTGAGATGCAAACAAAAGTTGACATTCATTAATATAATAATAATCTTTTCCTTTGGTAATAAAGAACATAACCAATCCATGAAGAAAGGATTCATGTTTCTTCTCATAGTTTCTATCAATTTGTCAACAACTTAATTGAATAGAGAGAGAGTTGAATGAAGGCAACTGACCTTTGGAATGCGTTCAGGGTTTGGAAACTGCATGTTCTGGGCTTGAAGCATCTGACGCTGAGTCATCAACATGTTTTTCTCTTTGAGAAGAACGTACCACAGCTTCTGAAGATCATCCCACGACTTGAGACGTAGTTCTGAAGCTTTCCAACCTCGACCTAACACCAAATCATTACAAATGTTCCCCCATTAACAAAACAAAACAATCCTTAATTCCACATATTCCATGGCATAAGAGGATAACCAAGTTAAGAAGACAAACGAACGATTAGCAGGCTTGACTACAATCCTAAGCTACATTGAACTACTTAACTTGTTCACTTAGTACATTCTATGAACAATCCACAAGTAGCTAAGAGCCTGGATTTGGGAAAACAATGTAAACTAGCATTAAGTAGAGAGAAGTTACCACAAATCAGCTTTAATACATATATCACATTTGACAATCTTAGAGTATCATAAGAGTAAAGTCTACCAAAATGAAAATGACAAAAGAACGCACCGTAGACAACAGTTTATCTTCATCCTGGCTTCTGTCAAACTCAAAGAACTCCTCGAGTGGATTTTGGGGCGTCCGAATCGCTGAGGCAGCTGCTGTAGTAGTGGACTCCGATCTCGCCGATGCAGCCGCCAAGAATCTCCTCCCGACAAATCGCGTTAGAAACATTGTAACAACAATTCCTTTGAGCTTGCAGAAATATAATCTGACCAACCAAAGATCATCAACAACAATTAGAAAGAGATCGAGACTGGATACCAAAATGGTGACATGTTAATGGAATGTTGTATATAATTCTCAGGCTTCCAAAGAAGTAAGAGATCTTCTACACAGAAAAGCACAATCCCTCGCAAAAGAAGAAAATAAGAACTCACCGGAGATACAGAACAGAGAGCAATTTTACGACGACAGTGACGGCCACAGAGAATGGAAAACCCTCTCTGAACGTTTTTCCGAGAGTAACAACAGGTTTACAAAGACGGAACTTTTAGGGCCCAATAACCAACTCTAAGTAGTATTGAGACTATTATGGGGCCAGATTTCTTTTTCTCTTTAGGGCCCAATAAGACAGCCTAAACCACACTTGTAAAATATATTGTGAAGACGAATTATGTTTTTTTTTTAGCAGTGTTAAATTGGGAGCAATCCACGTCATCGATCCATCTACTACTGTTAACAATGTAACAACCATTGGATCAAATAATAAACGGTCAGTATGAAAATCACACGGATCATCTCAGTTTTATATATTAAGTTACACTGTTTTTGACAATGTATTCTGCCTGGATTCTCTTCCGCTTTATGGTCCCACCAAAATGAGGGTAATGAGCATATTCAGACACATATGATTATCGCATATGTTAGCCACAATAGTCATTCATACCTAAAGAGATGAAGTAGAGAACAGCCAGAACAAGAAATAAAAACGTATGTGAGCACTCATGTGTAGGATTTCTCCAGAAACATGATCCAAGTACATCTAATCTAATCACATGATTAAAAAACTGGTGTCTTCCTTGTTAGTTTTTGCTAAATTATTACTATTGCCTTTCATTTTTTAATGTCAGAACAGACAGAGTTGTTTAAAATATAACAGGATGAACAAGTTTTGCCATACGATGCTCAAAATACTTCGGTTTGACATAAATTCAACTTTTCAAGTCATGTAAAAATGGTAGTGTTGGTACCCACCTCCCATGTCTTCTGTTGTGGAGATTGAACAAATCTATGCCCTCCTCAAGAACTGATTTAACAGGATCAGGTAAAGGAGTCCTGTATATGCAGGATAAGTTCTTATAAACCAATTATATATGAAGTTGCAATTTGTAGCTGTGCTAAGTTCGAGTTTGTTAGCTCAATTGTGATGTCAACCATATACCTGTCCGATTTCAATAGTGGCATCTTGATGAGGGAGCCAAAGCGCTCAATCAATTCACTCTCAAATTCACTACGGTTCTGAAAGTTATAAAGACAGTTCAATAAAATGTGAGATCAAATCATAGATTTACTTAAAGAAAAGTTGTGGTGTATGTGATAATACCTTTCCCTCATAAAGGTGATAAAACATCAATAGCACATAGCCTGCATTTGAAGATTCCTTGTCGAGCTTTCCCTAAAAATATTCATTGCATATGAAAGAAAAGATAGTTTGTTAAGAGATGTAGGGTTGTGATAAAAGTTGGATGATGCAGTTGAAGATAAACTGTGTAGAGGATGCAACTGTATACCGGATGGTTAACTCGTTGAAGTACCCGGAACATGAATACAGCCAAGGCATCAAGTGAATATGGATTTGTATCGGTTCCTGTGCATTCATAGAGGGCCAAAAGTAAATATCAAGCAAAAGATCACAAAGAATACAGAGGATGAAGCAAGGCACTAAATTGAGAAAACAAAGCAGAACAATACTTTTTGTGTGTTGTAAGAGAAGTATATGCAAAAAAATTGAGTATCAACCTTAGATTTAAATAAGAATAATACGGGAACAAATTCAGTAAAGATAATTGATCCTTCAACCTTTCATACTCAAAACGTTCACAGGGTCATCATATCAATTAAAGGTCAAATATTATGGAGTAAATTGGATATGACCATATTAAACAGCACACAAGAAGTTTGTTAACTGAAATACATCAAAGAATGGATGCATAGTTACATACCTTCAGAATCAGCAACGATTGGAACTGCAGAAGCCCTAGTTCTCCGACACATGTCTTCAATCTAATAGGGAAATACGAGAATAATATTGAAATTGAGACTTGTTAAGACACACAAAATGTGGAAATATATCAGGTCAGCGACCTATTATTGATATAGGTACTCTATCAAAAGTGCAAAGATTCTGATAAAAATTTACTACTAATAAGCCAAAGCCACTCTTAAAGGACCCATAGACCATAGGTAGAGCTATTCCAAATGCTAGCTTACACGAGGAGGGGCAGAGAATCATATAAGCCTAATACTCATTTCCTAATTAATGTGAGGTTGTAACAGATTCTCAACGTAGGATTAATTACATGTCTATATAAGACTATATATCTAATTATCTATATATCTAATTATCTATATACATATATAAACATGTGTATTTTTCGGGTTTGTGGATACCCTAAATGGGTAACGGGTAATCCCCGACCCGACCCGATACCCACGGGTAATCCAATACTCTACCCAACGAGGTAATTTTCTAATACCCTAACCCGCCTCAACCCGATTTTTTCGGTCCGGGTATCGGTTCGGGTATCGGGTCCGGGTTTTTTGCCCAGGCCTATCCAGATCTATGCTTGTCAAAATTCCTAATGACTTCATTCAGCATAAGGTTCTTGAAAAATATATTTGGTACAAAATCTCTCTAGACTAGTTGTTGATGCATGAATCACACAAGTACGTATACAGGATCTCAAAGGAAGAAAGAAGAATCTCTTATTAAAAGACGAGGAGTCAATTACAAAATGGACGAGCTGAAAACTAAGTCGACGAGCCGAAACCGCAAAGTTCTCTGTTGCACTATATCTTCTGCGAAAGCCATTTTTTTGGGATCCCCTTTCAATCATTTTCTTTTTCTACTTATAGGGTACAAAGGTAGGGTACCCTGTGTGCGAAATGTCCTTTTTGCCCTCCTAGGTCGGTGAGAACGTTAATGGGCTTTTATTGGGCTTCAGGATGTCTTAAAAGTGCAGGGCCGCAGACCATGGTGGGCCTGTTGAGATGTTCGGGCCCGAGCCCAAAACCCACCATCAACAGTAGCCCCCGACCCTAGTGCGTTGTGCTAACGCGGCTAGGGTTGCAATCATTTCGCCGCTCTTGTTTTGACTTCCCTCGCGCATTCCCGAGGCGCGTGTCGGGAACGCTCTTTCTGGTTCGCTCATTGCTGCTCCCGAGGCATTGGGAACCGGATCGTTCGCGTGTTGGAGGCGGCGAAGATGTGATGATTACACCGTTCTTCGAGATGTGATGATGACGCACCTTTCTTTGCTTGACCGACCTTCTCTATAAATACCTTGCTTCCTTCTCATTTTTCTCATTCTTCCTCTGCATCAACTGAAGGTATTCTCTCTGTTCTCTCTCTTCTTTTCCCAGCTCGTCGCTTTTCTTTTTCCGATTATGTCTTCTAGTATCGGTTCCTTTGGTTCTATTTCCGACCACCGTCAAACTCGTACATCCGACGACTCGAATGTTCGATCTGTCAATCAGTTTCTTAACGAATCAGTCAGCGACTCCCATGGTCGTAGATCTGGGGCCTCCTCCAGCTCGTCGGCTTCATCTGTTGCCAGAACTTCTCCTGTCATCGCGGAGTTGCAAGCCGTGAATTTGAGTGCCGGACAAGAGCTGCCGGGCCGAGTGTTGCTCCTGCGCCCGTTTCAACAATGTTTCTTCGAGACGAAGATAGTGACGCGGCCTCTGTAGATGAGGACGACGTGCCGCTCATCAGGCGCCGATCTGCTCAGAACAGAACGATTCGATCTGCCAGCTCGATAGCTGATATCCCTGACCCTCTGGACGGCATTTCCCTAATCAATCGGACACCCTCCCTGGTTGGAGTTGTTCAGCCGGGCGGCCCAGCGCCAGGAACACTAGATTTCCTTCAACCTACGTCGTCGACAAACGAGACGGTTGAACTCTCCCTTCGTTTTTGTAACGCTCCTGCTACTTTAGATACACTTATTCCCAATCCTGGACTGCTCTACCCGATTATCTCTGTATCTACGAAAAGCACATTACCGACTGCGGGCTGACCTTCCCGATTCCTGCCTTCTTGCTGCAATATGCTTTGCGGCGGCAGATGGCGTTTGTGCAACTTTCTCCAGCTGCCATTCGGAACGCCTACGGCTTGATCCGTTTAGCAGAGCAGTGCAGCGTTGAACCTCGATGTTCCTTGTATGAGGAACTGATAGTGCAGAAAAAGTTCGGGAAGTCTAAACCGGGCTTAGTGTACACCCAATCGTCGATGAACCCTAAATTGGTTGTCGGCGCGAAGAGTAAGACCAATGATTGGCTTCGATGGTACTTCTTTGTTAAGGTCGATCGGGAGTCTGCAGGGGACGTAGTGGTTACGAACTACCACGGGTGGAAGGTTTCACCCGGTAGTTTGCTTGTCTCTTCGAGGTCGATCCCATGTAATTGGATGTTTGCCTTATCCCATATTGTTGTTTTTTTTTTTTTTTTGCAGTTCGTTGTCCCAAGATCTTCGATCCCTATCCTGAGAAGTTGCACGACGACGTTCATAAGATTTTGGCTTTGTGTCCGTACACTTGGCCAGACGAAGAAGATCCGGTTCGTCGTCCTTCATCAAAACCGAAAGGAACGAGGCGAAAAAGGGCTCGAAATCGAAGAAAGTTAGCAGGACCCCAGGTCGGTCCTGACTCCTTATCTTCTAGCTTTATTCTTTCTTGTGGTGGCACGTACTTTATGCATATTCATATATTCTCTTCTTTTTTTAAGTTGTTTGCCGCGTAGTCGGCTTTGTAAGAATTTGGCCACTTTTGTTGGCTTTTTGCTTTTTATCGAATATTTTGTTATTTTTATTTTACGCGTATTTTATTGAGAACGGTCTCAATAACAGAAAGAAAAGTTTTTTGTATGGTTGAGACGGGTTCAAGGCATTTTTAGGTGCGACCCGCAGGGTCGGCTTATTTTGCTCGGAAGTTAAAACAGAACTGAGGGTGCGAATTCGACTTCGGCTTACGCAATCAATTGTTTTAACGCTGCGAGCGCGGAACTCGGCTTATTTGTTTCGATCGAACGTTGGGCCAGAGCGTCGATGTGCTCTCGTTTTCGTTCCATGATTTGGAAAATATTAACATTTATTAATATTTGCAGCTGTGCCTCGTAGACGAGGCTGCCTACGTACCCTCTGATCGGAGGGATCAAGCCGCTCGTTGTTGGTGTCGGATCCTGCACCAGTGGTCCGAAACCACTCAAAGATTGCCACGTAAGCAGAAGGGAGGCCCACAAGGAATAAGGCCCATGGGATCTTCAAGTCGAGCGAAGTGGTCATGCCGCGAGGTGGAGAACAGAATCGAAGACCAAGGATGGTCCATTTCGGGATTTATGGGCTTAAAGGCGAAGCCCAAGAAGGATGGAATCAATTCAAATTCAAATTCAAATGTTGAGCATTAAAACTCAAAGACTGAAACGGATACATTTAAGAGAGAATAATTGTATTTAATTGGGAGTTAAATGTCGTTCGGTAGTATAAGTATAAGGGCCAAGGGCCATGTAAAGGACACACGATTTTTCTAGCAAATATACTATAGCCATTTCCATAACAATTCATAGCTTTTTGCACATCAATTTTTGTCCTCAAGAATATATTTATCACTAAATAAACAAATACTTGAGTGTGCGAATCCGACATCCACATTTTGGCGCCGTCTGTGGGGACACGAGGATTCTTGAGTTGTCAGACTTTCTTCACTACATTTCCGAGATAAGCAGCAATGTCTGGAGGAGACACCCTTGACACATCAGTGGCTGAAACTCTCAAGACCTTGCAGCAAACCATGTCGGAAATATCACAGAAGTTCTCGGATGTGGAAAAGGCCGTTGACACGTTACGAACAACCCAGGTATCTCTTAGTCAAAACGTCAACACTATACAATCTTGTGTTCGTTCTCTGGGGGCAGGAAACTCCGCAGGAGTCCGAAGAAGAATGTTCAATTCGCCAAGCTCCCTAGCGCGAAATGGAACCAACGAACAAACAACCCCTGATACGGTAATTCAGCTGGCGGATGGAGAGACGCAGCTCGGAGATGAAGATCAACTTGCAGATCAGTACGAGAAAGAAAGCCTCGACCAGTTCGAGACTATGAGAAATGTTAGCCAGGAACTAAAAGAAATGAAATCAAAGTTCCATCACGCCACTAGTTCGGAACCGGATATCAACCGAGTCATTGAAGAAGCTAGGCGAACACCTTTCATTCCGCGAATCACAAATTTGAGAATCAAAGATTCTCGGAAACTCAAACTGGAGCCCTACAGCGGACTGGAGGATCCAAAGAGCTATCTCGCAGCCTTTTTGATTGCCGCTGGACAAGTCGAATTGGATGAAGCTGATGTGGATGCAGGATACTGCAAACCCTTTTCAGAATATCTTTGCGGTCAAGCACTAATGTGGTTCACCCAGTCAGAGCCTGGTTCAATCAACAATTTTGACGAGCTGTCGGCTGTGTTCTTGAAACAATATTCTATCCTTATGGACAAAAGCGTTTTGGATGCTAACCTTTGGAATCTATCACAAGGGCCAAATGAGTCACTTCGAGTTTTCATCACCAAGTTCAAGGGGGTGCTGTCGAAGCTCCCAATAATCTCGCAACAATCAGCTTTATCTGCCCTACGAAAAGGTTTGTGGCATGATTCAAGGTTCAAAGAAGATCTAATACTTCACAAACCGGACACAATTCAAGACGCAATTTTCCGTTCAAACAATCAGATAGAAGTAGAAGACGAAAAAAGAGTTTTGCGAAAAGAAACAAACAAGCGAAACCGACGGTCACTTTCCCTACCAAAAATTTTGAGCCTAGGGAAAACCAAGGACCAAAAAAGTTTAGAACGCAACCCCTCAACAATATCGTCGGAAAGCAATTCCAAGAAAAAGGAAAGTCGAACACTTGGGTCTGTGACGAAAGTTTGCATTGTGACATCCATAAGGTAACCGGGCACTTAACCAAGGATTGTAGCGTCCTCAAAAAGCATCTCGCGGAGCTATGGGCCAGTGGAGATCTTTCCAAATTCAAGATAG